ATGCTAGATAAAAGAGCATTTAATTTGGTAATGCTTGTATCACTCACACTCACACTCACTATCCTGGTATATTGTATATAATGTGATACATATACATAACTATTACCCCTGATGTTGCAACAAGAACCATTCTTAGAAAATCAGCTACATGTCATTGTAAAATTGTTTTAAACGTAAAAGAAACCCACCATGTATATACTGCAATATGTTACCCAAGTGCCTATGTTGGCATTGAAAATGTACTTTAGCATATAAATGGAGCTTATATATGTATATTTTTTATTGTAGCACAGAAATAGCACTGTTCAGTTCTGTTTTTATTAAGCCTGTATTCATCGCATCATAGACCATTCTAAAACAGGCTTGTTTTTAGTTACCTCACTGCTTGTTACAATCATAAACAATCTTGATATGATCAAGGACATTATACACAGATGTATAATGTCCTTGATATGATAGATACAGATTTACTCATTAGGACCTGATGTGACACAGAAATAAATGAACTGATAATTGTACAAATTATTTTAACAAATTGTAATTTATAATATAGCATTTATGTATGATATAGATATAGATTATACATGTATACTCATTGTACTAGTTACAGCCTTGCTGCTATCACTGCATCACTAAAAAGTGTTCTATGCAACCCCATATGTACATACTGTATGATGCATGGAAGTTGTACCATAGACGTACTAGTAGAAGGGAGCCATGGTTGTACATAAAACTCTGTGTGATGACTCCAAGACAATGCTGTGTTTTACTTTATATGGTTGTCTTTGCATTTCTTGCTGAACAACAGATAAAACAAGGGCATATAGCAAGGGAGCTACATATTTTGTAAGGTAAAAGAGTATTTCTCATTACATCAAGATTCAAGAAGGAACCTTAAACTTTACTCGTTTAAAAAGCTCTAAGGGCTAGTAGGATTTTGACCTCTAAACCAGGAAGAGGACAATAGCCTGCACAACCATGACTGCGGTGTTGTGGCCTTTTTCTATGGCAAACATGCCGATCTCCTGGGCACCAAAGGTGAGATGTGGCAGCTCCACAGCTGTTGTGAGCGCAGACAGGAGCAGGGCAGAGCGCACTGATGCCCCCAGGGTTGTGGCACCCAGGTATGGTCTGGAGAAGGAAGAACAGAAATCTGTGATATGAATACATGTATACTGAATCTCAACAGTCTTCAGTGACACAGTATAACAGTTATAGACTTAAAGGCATAATCAATTTAGTTCAAATATCTCCACAAGAATATGTTTTAAAAACTGGACCTGGAAGAAGTGAAGGAAGAACAGTATTAAACTGACAGAAATGCAAAAGTTTAGTGACCATATAAATTAACTTATGCATATATGAAAGGGTTCATTTCAAAATATTTCACTCTTTCCCACAGGTGTTGCAAAAAGGGAAATTATGTTGAACTCACAGCACATATGACAAGAGCAGGGCCACACTCAGGGCCGAGGCAAAGGCTGATCCATAGCAGACGGAGTTCGGGTACTTCCCAAACTCGTGTTTCCTGTAGGGTGGATAGGTCAGCTGGAACCACATGTTCCCAAAGGTGTTGGGGTTATACCACAGGAACCCGATAAACTGGGCAGCCACGGTGGCCAGGATGATGTCCAGCATGGTCAGAGCCTGGGCAGGGAAACAGAGTCGGTTCCGTTGTGAAATGAAGCAGGCAAAATAGTCATCAACGATGGCCTTCCAAAGTTCTCTTTGCACCCGCCCCCGTTAACGTTTTGAACTGCCCCAGGGATATCACCCTTTTGTGTAAACAAGCCTATGAAGATAAAGTGCTGTTAAGTGCCTGACTTGATGTCTGTGTCAAGCACAACACAAATATTGATCATTGCAACCAAATCCTGCCCTCTTCCTGACCTTCGTTACTTACCACAAAACGATTTGTTCACAAAAGGCACACCTCTATACCTCTGTTGGAATGTTGAAGGTCAACAACACAAAAGGGGCGGGGCTGTAATTCTACCCTGTCTAGTCATGTTGTGTTCTTGCTAATTTGTCTTGAACTCTCTGAACGCCAAATCATGAAACCAGAAACTTGAGGAAGAAACTACTGCAAGACAATTGTTGAGGGTTTCAGTTTCCTCTGAACCACACAAATTGGAGAAACATGGATAGACTGTAAACGTTACGAAGAGTGGCCCGTGAAAATGTAATGTTATCGCCCCACATTTAAGACCCATTTAGTAGATATACATGTAGTTAACGTTACCAGTAACGTTAGGAATAAACAAATTATGAAACTTTACCTACAACAGATTCATTGACGCTGGTCTTTCCAGTATCATATATGTATAAAGATCACACATACCTGACTAGCTGCACTGATGCATTCACTGAATGTCAAGTAAAACGTCAAGGGTTTGGCAGGCTCGGTCTCGACTACAGTCGGTCTGTCTGAGGGACTAGTATTTGGCGCGAAAATTCCGCGTGTCGGGTCAAAGGTCACCGTTGTTTTCTGTTGCTTGTTGGGCGGGGCTAGCAGCTCCTGCAGCCCCGAGGAAACCTGCCCCTACCACGTAAGACTGGATACCAGGCTAGACAGGAAATTTATAGATTTTCATTCACAAGTGATTACTAGGCAGAACTAGTCACTGGTTTCTCCTCTCCCATGGTCATAAAAACGTTGAATTTTTCGCAAGTTACTGCCTTGTGCAGACTTGTGCGCCGGCGGCGTTTATTTTTTTGGAGGGAGCGACCGCGAAACTCCCTCCGGGTTAAAACTTCCTGTCTAGCCTGGTATCCAGTCTTACGTGGTAGGGGCAGGTTTCCTCGGGGAGCTCTTCCCTGCTCTTCCCCGCCCACCTCAGCTAGATTTCCCGGTGGGTATTCCACGAGAGATGTAATAGATAGAGCACGGTTTGAGGCTGACTATGAGGATTTAGAACTGCCCCGCCCACCAAGGGGATTTCATGTCTCCCGAGGCCGGAGGCCGAGGGTGACATGAAATCCCCGAGGTTGGGCGGGCAGTTCTAAATCCGAGTATTCAGCCTCAAACCGTGCTCTATCTAACTTAGAGCACTTCTAGGTCCCCGAAGTTGATCAACTCCATCCACTAGAACTTGATTTTGCTTTATAAATCTTTGTTTAGTGTCACTTTTTGTCTTGTTTCGAGGAGTTGTTTGGTTGTCCATCTGGGCTGATTAACGACCGCTAGGTCGTTAATCAGCCCAGATGGACAGCCAAACAACTCCAAGAAGAGTCAAACCATGTGTGGTGATGAGCCGGTCAGTCTCCTCTGATTCCCCAGGGCAGAAAGCTGGACACTGCCATTGGCCAGTTGTTGTTTCCATGGAAATAACAATGGGCGGGTCCAACATAGTGTAATTTATTCGGTTAGTTAGAGCACCTCTGTCCCTAGAGAGGGACCAATTCCAGCTCACTGGTTGGCTGAGAAGAGGGTGGCTGGTTAGTTAGTGCACCTCTACCCCAAGGGAGAGAGGTGCACTAACTCACAAGTATGCTACTATGTGGATATAATCACTAAAAATCCAGGATCCCTATTGGCTGAGGGGACCTAGCAGTGCTCTAATGATTAGTTAGAGCACTGCTAGGTCCCCTCAGCCAATAGGGAGCCTGGATTTTTAGTGATTATGTAATCTTAGCAATCAAATCCCCAAGCATGCCATCTGTAACGGGTCGGCCTGTTGTTGTACTGGGCGGGGGAAGCTATTAGGGCCCCGAAGACACAGTCTGCCTGAGCACCCCAACAGCCCCAATCACGTAAGACTGGATACCAACCAGGCTGAGGCTAATTCTTGTCACATTTAAAAACAAACATTGGTCTGAGAAACAACAGTTTCTAAAGTATAAACTGCCTAAACATTCATAAAACATACAACCTATAAGTGGTCTTGTAAAAATAAGCAGGGTGGTTCTTTGTACTAGTATCTAAAGCCACAGCAAGTAATTTTTTGGATCTGCACGCGAGCGCATTAATTTTCGTCTGATGTCGAAAAAAAACAAGAATTTTTTTTTGCCCTCTGACAGTGGTCAACATGCCAAAAATGGGCAAATATGTCTAGATCTGTTGCCATGCCAGAACGTGGATGGCAGATAAATATGAAAAGAGGAGACAAGGCAAGGCTCTGATTTAATGTTTACTTTGATGCAATGATGTATTTCATTCCTTTTATGATGTTCCCACTGAATCGAAACCATTTGCACAATGATTGAAAAGTTGTTTCAGTGACAAATGAATGTTGTAATATTTGGCAGTTAACTTACTTTAACGCAATCAAGGATAATGTTCTTGGCGCAAATTAGGTATCATTTCTTGTTTGACAAGGTTTATAAAGTAAAAATTTGAAAATGTAGGGATCTTGTTTATTGGCCCGCCAGATGCCATCCATAAAATTTACTTGCTGTGGCCTAACAGTCAGGAAAGTTTGTTTTTTAGCAATGCATGGTGGGACTGTGTCAAAGGTCATGAAAATGGCAACGCAGTTTCGAAGAGAAGATGGTTGACCTCGCAAGTTTTTGTCGTTTTTCCTTCAACCGGCCCATATTCTCCACTATAACCAGACCCGAAACATACAATATCAACTTATGTGTCCTTAGAATGTCTAAGGATGCCGTACTGCGACAGGAATTAGACGACTTGTCTGATATTGTGTACGGTAAGATGTGGGAGGGTCGTCGTCTTTCATAGCTTCATCATGTTCGTAACCTTTATAGCAGCTTACAAATTAGCCGTGGCGACTCTTGATTCGGGCTTACATTGCATTATTGCTGAGGGTAATGCAATGTAAGCCCGAATCAAGAGTCGCCACGGCTACTTACAAATGTGCCGGCCGCAGTGGTAGTCAGACCAAGAGAACCGACATACATGTATGGCAAACGAATGAAAATTTCTGAGGGACTGATTGACCGGGACTGATTAGTATTTTATTGAGCTGCCATGCACTAATCAAGTCTGTGAATCTGTGTTCTACCGTAAAGCTTTATTCAGAGCTGGGCAAAGTACCTGAGAGAAACGTTAGATTGTCACTTGGTTGTGGGGATTTAATGTAGGTGTGCAAAAATGTAACTGCATGTTGATGTTGTTACTAAGTACTCTGTATGTTGTTGAAATGGAGTGGCTTTATTTTCACAGTGACCTTTCACCATGGAGCTATAAAGGTTGCTCTCACAGTGACATCATCACACCACAAATATGCATTTACATTGTATACAGTAACTACTATACTACAGTATTGTTTCAACCACAAACATGAAACCTACTTACCTACTTACCCATCACTAATTCCATCAAAAATAGATAAATTTACAGTATTCCTTTTTTTTTTTGCAATTCAGACCTGATCAGAGACATTCGTGACCCAGAGAAGGACAACACACTGGAGGAGCTGGATGTGGTGTACCAGAGTGGAGTCCAGGTGGAGCCGTGGGGGGAGGGCAAGTTCCACATCAGCATAGAGTTCACACCTACTGTACCTCACTGCTCATTGGCTACTCTCATAGGTGAACCTCTAGTCTAGTCATCTTGGTCAGGTGGAAAGATGGTTATAAGTGTGTGGTTGGTTCATCCACCAACACAGATGACCATCTTATCTGTCTTTGTATTCTAGAGTTCACAAATCTTATTTGTTAATGTTAGATTGATTTAATCAAGGCAACAATGGTTATTCTTCCATAGGTCTTTGCCTCAGAGTAAAACTGGAGAACAATCTGCCACAACACTACAAGGTAACAATTCTATTTTTGTGATACTACCCAGGTAAATTTGCTACATTTTGTTTTCATTCAATACCTGTCATTGTACTTGCAGTGTAAATTGCATATTAGATATGAAACATGTTTAAACCACTTTTATAACACTGCAATAGTTTTATATTTTGTTTGATTCAAATAAAATGTCTTTGAATGCTATATCAAGATAGTAACAGCCTTTTCTTTCTACTTCATGCTAGCTGGATATCACTGTTAAAGAGGGAACACACTCCACAGGCCCAGAAAGTAAGTACATTTATCAGCTTCAACTGAGAGTTGTAGTTGACCACAACAAATTTTTCAGGTTTAAATACTGTTTGCACTTTGTTTCGTCACTATCACTTATTATAGCTAGTATTGGCAACCTGGATCTGAAAAGCACTGGCTACAATAAAATACCAATTTGTTAATAATGACTAAAACTCCAAATTCAGGTAAATACTACTAAGGACATTAGTTGCCAATGAAGGTTTGACCCTGGAAACTTAATGTCTTACTTCCTCTTTCAGTCAACAAGCAGATAAATGACAAAGAGAGGATAGCAGCAGCAATGGAGAACCCCGATCTCAGGGCAGTTGTTAAAAGATGTGTACAGGATCCAGAGTAGACTGTTATTCAGGGTATTTTTGTCAGGGCTCTCTACAGCTGAAAACTTTGAAGAATGTTTGCCAAATGTTAAGTACTGAATATCCATCCTGAGCAGCAAAATTCAATCCAGGGACAGAAAAATGCTGAAGAGAGCCCAATAAATGTGACATACATTGTACAAAGGAAAATTATACAGACGTTTCAGAAATTATTATAAAATAGAAAGTAACAAAATTACTACAGTAGTACTTGGTGAGTCTACATAAATGTGTCAAGAAGCAGTTTCAGGGTTTCATCTGCACATGTGCAGCATGATGCTATGTGGGTAGAAGTCAAAGTTGAAAGCCAGGAGACATTAACAAAACAGAGGGCTGGACATGGTATCAGACAGAACAGTTTACAAGTTACAGGTGGGGCCTTTGACCTTGCATATTTGCAGTTCAAACTGTTAATCAGCTTATACTTGTTGCTCATGGTTGCAGGCATGGTGGCTAGGTGCAATAGTGCTTTTTATCACAAGCAGAGCAGTATATTTAGTAGTGTTGTTTTAAGGTACTTTCCATTTGTTCCAACCAAGTAATGTTGATACGCATTTTTACCTACACAGTAACACTATAAAGTGGTTTCTCATTTGATATACATGTACAGTGGAATCTTTCATTGGTTTTATTATTGTAAGATAAGGATTCCATAGTATTATACATGTAGAAGAGTTAAATGTTTAAACATGTAAACATTCGCTTTTGGCAGTATCATAAATAAACTAACTTGGTCTGAAAATCTGTCAAAGGTACAATTTCATCCATGGTGTTCCATTACTTTGACATGCATTGTAACAAGGACAAAAGGCAGTTCTTTTTTTGATGGCAACTTTTAATTCCCCATGACTTAGCAAGATGTGGATGCACATATTACTGATGGCACCTCTGATAGTCAGTGAAAGATCACTCCCACACAGTGAAGGGTTGGTAACTTCTCACACTGGTTGACTGCATGGCACACAGGCATGTTGGACAATAAGCCGGGTCACGGTTTGACTTGCACATGTGCAGCACGATGCATTCTGGGTACATGTAATATGTCAAAGTTGAAGGCCCCTGGGACATATAACACATCTGAGCATGTATCTAATACGGTCTAGACAAGAACTGTTAGGGACCTTGATCTTTGACCAAGCGCATGCACATTTTAACCATGGTCTGGCTTATTGTACATGTATGTGGACAGCATGCCGTTTTACAAAAAAAAGCAAGATCCCTAAATTTTTCATTGACATTGTGCAGAGTGTAGAAAAACAAGCAATTCTTTCATTGTCTACAATTTTGTCCCAATTTACAATTTCTCAAATGATTAAATAAGACATTACTACTAGTAATGTGGCCTAAGGAGAGACACTGGCCTGGAGGTGGACTACTTGGGTCAAGTGATGGAAGATAGGGAGTGTTGGCCAGCCATTTTGTCTCGAGGCCAGGGACACCAGGACTCGACATAAGTCAAGTAAGTCAATGTGGCTACTTGTACATGGAAAGCATCTACCCAGCTGTCCTGGGAAAATACTATATCATTACTACAGAAGTTTCCCACCACTGCCTTTTGGCATCAAGTTTGTATTGGTTACTTCGTCACCAGCTAAGAAAAGGTTAGAATTACAGACAGACTCTCAAGCAAGAAAAGGTTCTCTTCATCTTCTTTTAAACACACATTTGATACGTCTATATCTACATGTATGTCACCCCATAACGTGGCATGAATCAAATATCAAAGGTTGACTAGTTTTTCTCTAGGTTTGATTGCAAAGTTTAGGATAGGTTGTAACACCTTCAAGAGTATGGACTGCATAGTGAATATTGAGCATAACTTAGCTTTTTTTGGCTACACCTCAGGAGTGGAGGCATTTTTGTCAGAGCGATCAAGTACAAGACAGGCTCCTTACAAGTTCTCAAATTTTCACCAAACTATCCTACCCTGAAGACTGCACCCTGCAAAGACAATCTGAATTTGGACATATAAGGCTACAGTAACAGGTGGCATCAAGAGACAAAATCATTGTAATGCTCAGTGATGAAAAGCCATTCCATGTAAAACTTAAGTGTACACCAATAATTTTGCACAAATGTGGTAAATCTTCACAAATTCTTTTCAAGTCTGAAATCAAGATATCTCTGACTAAACATGAGTTAACTATACCACAAAACCATGGGAACACATGACTTTGCCATAATTACTGTCATAGTTTTGTCTTTTAAAAATGAACCCCCTTAATTTTAGCATAATAAAGACAAGCAACAAGCTCAAAGATCACAGAAACATAATTTCTGTACTTGTGTTAAATATAGTAATACATGTTAATTCTAAAGCCACTTAAGATGCTAATTATTCTCCAGACCTCATTTCCCTTTATACCAAATGATGACAAAAACCATAAATATCCACACATAACATTTACACAGTAGCTTTGCATTTGCAAAGAAATAGAAGTCTGTCTAAAATGTTTACAGATTGGAAGACTCAATTTGTTTGGATGAAAAGTGAGAAATTTCTTAATTATTCTTGTCTCTACAGCAGGGAGCAGCCTTCATATTCCATATCAGAAAATATTCATTTGCAATATTAGTCCTTCATAACTCCGTTACTATTCCTAACTCTCATTCCCTAGCTATAGGTGGGCGTGGGGCTAAATAAAGTCGTCATATTCATCTCCATAAGTGCTGTAGTCTTCCAGATCCACCTTCTTGACTGCCTTCATGCTTGCTGCCTGCTTCTTTCCCTTCTTCCCTCCTTTTGCTGCCTATAGACAGGATAGAAAACAGAAACTTTTAAGCAATCAAAGTGCTTTAAGGGTCGGCTCATGTATCCATCTTAAAAAAAACTTTTAACAGTAGCAAAATAAAGGCCTTTTACAGATTAGACTGAAAAACCTGACAACAGGAAATGACTTCTTCTGTCATGAAAACAGTATTTGACTTCTAATATAAACTAACAAGTGCATAACATTGGCACATACATTCTCTTTTAGGCCCCCTTTATACCTGACGGCAATTACAGAGCAACCAAAAATTGCAAATTAGTTTGACTCTTATGATTATTAGCCTGGGTGCCATCCTCTAGTTTTTGCTGGCTCCTAATGTCGTTGGCCAGACTTTAGGAGCCAGCAGAAACTACAGAGGATGGCACCCAGGCTACCCTAGGTCTTACTTTGCAGTAATGATGCCTCTTACCTTTGCAGCTTTTGCCTTTTCATTGGAAAGAACAGTGAGGGTAGTTCCTAACCTCCTGACATCATCAGCCTCCACTGAGATGGTAAAGACAAACTGAGGTTAGAACCTTCTCTATTCAAAGGAGGATGAGGTTAAGTGCAATAGATCAACAGTTGTATGTGGGCAGTAGATCCAGGTTCCAAATATTTCACTAAACTGACATGTTACAAGTGGCTAATGCAACATTAAGTATACATTACAATGAAATAAAGTCCTCACAGTCACACAGTTCAAAATATCCTTACCTTCAAATTTAGTACATTTGATAAAAACACAATAATACAAGTGGATACCACTAAGAAATAGCATTCTACCTAGCCAAAATTTTGAACTAACACAAAACTATATTCAGTAGATTAAAATCAGTGTCACATATACATAAACAAAAATAAGAGTAACTCACATCCTAAACAGCAGTCCCTGAATAATTCCTCCAGAAAGGTGACAAAGTGAATGGACCCTTGATACTGGCACACTTTCTCTACCAGCGCTTTCTGGAACTCCTCAAAGTCTTCTCTTGTCTGGGGGTGCATTCTGTCAATCTTTCCGCCCGTTTCACTGGTCACTCCTAAGTGAGCACAAGTAAAGCTTGTGAGGCTTAATTGTTTTCCTTTCTTTTTTACGAAACATTTCATTTAGATGAGGAACTAGAAATCCCAGCTGAGGGTCATGGAGAAGTAGATTTAGTCTGGACTAACAGCCCAACATGATGATGAGGGTCTGTTATGGAGGAAAATCCTGGCCAATAGAAAAGAACTTTGTTATAAGTAATGAGGTAGACAAATCTGGATTTTTTTTGCAGACAGTTTTGTCTTAGACATTGTTAGAACTTACCATTTCATCCATAACTGTTTCCTCTTCAACATGTTGCCACACACATAGAAGTAGTATGGGTTTTTTATGAGTCTGTACAGATTTAAGCTTCCCCTCTTTCATACCTATAGAAGACTTTCATACCCACTAGCACATGAAATTGCTAGAATATTCTACCAACCCAATTGTTATAAAACAATAATAAACTTATTACTGCCATTGACACCAAAATTGGTTTGGCTATGAATGTAAATCAGACAGAATTTTCTTTCAGAATTATCTGTGTCAGACTGATGGAAGGCAAGTCTAGAAAAGGCTGGAATAATGCTTCATAAATGCCTTGTCCCAGCTAGCATAGCCAAGATAGCAGGCTTCAGAATACGACACATGCAGACTTGCATATCTCTTATTTTACCAGAATAAGTTTGCTTTGTTACTTTTGCTAGTTTTATGAAAAGTGTGTTATGGTATGTTATCAACTCTCCTCACTAATACTCCCACATTTCCTCTAAAATAATGACATAAGAAAATTTTAACCATGTTTTATTACCAGTATTTCTAGCAACTTTCTCATAAATCAAATGAAGTTCGTGCAGAATTTATAAATCCT